GGCAGACACAACATCTTTGTTTGTATGTGGTGCTGAGGATCGAATCTGGACCGCACACTTGAGCCACATCCCCAGCCCCTTGCTTAGGTTTAACACAGAAATGGCATTGAAATCTTGATGATGTCAAATTTCCCAAGGTTAAAAGCAAGTAAACTTGCACAAAATATGGCAGCATTATGATAAAAGTGGAAAACAAGAAACTAATATCCATCAAGGGACAATGGAAATAATAATCTTTTCATACACAAAATCATATCTCAACAGTTAAAATTACCAAACCAGAGTTATACGGAACTTGGATAAATGTGAATAAATCTTTTAATAAAAACATAAAGTTGAGCAAGACAAGCAAGTTGCAGACAAATACAAATGGTACACTACAGAATAGGAGCCTGTGAAGTACAGCCATCAGCCATGTGACTGGAGTCTAAGCTCTTGGGGCTATTTTCTGGCACTGCCACTTGCAAGTCCTGTGAACCTGGGCAAGTTGCATCACCTTTCATTTTCATCACCTGTAAGTTGGGAGTCAGAACAGGCCCTGCACACGGGGTGATGTGGAGATTTAAGGAAGTGATATGAATAAAACACAACAATGCCCAGCAGTCAAGAAGTGTGAGGGCTGGGGCTGTAGCTCAGTGGCACAGCACTTGCCTAGTATGTGTGAGGCACTGGGTTCTATCCTCAGCACCACATAAAAATAAACAAAACAAAGGCATTCTATCCATTCACAACTACAAAAAATAAATAAATTTAAAGTGAGCTACTGTTAAATTGGTGTAAAGTTTCAAAGTAAGGAAAACAATATTTTATGGGATGATATGTGTTAAAGTTTTAAAACAGGAAAATAACAACCTAACAAAATAACAGGGGAAGGGAATTGAGGAAGACTAGGGGTAGCTTTGATTTCATTTGTGAATTCTGATGTCCTAAGTTGGTTTGTGACTACACATCTTCCTTAGAATGTGTTGAATAAAATAAAATGTATAGGAGGCCATTGTTTTGGACTAAGCTCCTGCACTAAGCCCAACAGAACACAGCAAACTAAAAGGAAATGACTCATCCTAAATGCCAAGTAATCAAACTCAACTTGAAAATGGGGCCTGTTTTCAGAAAACAGGCGATTCACAATGACCCATCAGAAGAGGCCCAATTTACCTGAGTAGCAGAGAAGGCAGAAAGAAAGCCTGTTTTAACCCCAAAATGAAATAACTTTGAAACGGCCAATCCCCTTTTTGTTCTTCATTTCTACTTTTTTCTTTTCTTTTCTTTTTCTTTTTCTGTCTATAAAGCCAGCCTCTTCTCAGCTTAAAATTCAAGCCTGTGCAGAGGCTGTTGCCTATAATTCTAGTGAGTAGAGAGGCTGAGGCAGCCTCATAAGTTGGAAGGTAGCCTGGGCAATTTAGTGAGATCCCGTTCCAAAATAAAATAAAAAAAAAAAAAAAAAGAGGTTGTATAACACCCCTGGGTTCAATATCCAATAGCTAAACAAATCAGTAAATAAACGGTTGTGATTTTGTCTTTATAGAGAGTTGGTATTCATGTATGAAATATTTCATAGTAAAAAAAAACTTTTTTTTTTTTAAGAGAGAGGGAGAGAGAGAGGATTTTTTAATATTTATTTTTTAGTATTTGGCGGACACAACATCTTTGTCTGTATGTGGTGCTGAGGATTGAACCTGGGCCGCACGCATGCCAAGCGAGCGCGCTACCGCTTGAGCCACATCCCCACCCATAAAAAAACTTTTTAAAAGATGGGAGTGGGATTGTGTGCTGATAAGCACGAAGGTCTTCTTCATGGTTCATTTTGTGTGATTTGGAGCTGGAGGTGGGCAGAGAACACAGGAGGAAGGATCCTGGAGTCACCCAAACGTTTTGTTTTGTCCAGTTTCTTCCTATCCTTCAGATCTTGGTTCTGGAATCCCTTCCTCAGGCTTCCTTGGCTTCCTAGACACCCATCTTCAATCAGCACACCTCTATTTATCAACACACTACACTTGCGTTCCTAGGATTATCACTCAGACGCCTCCTAGTATTATTTTTTTACTTCGATAGTTGTCATCTTCCTCACTAGAATGTTTGTGGTCAACACTGTTCCTGGTACGTGTTAGGTCCTCGATTATTTATTGTTTTCAATTTCCGAAAAGCTGGATGAATGAGTGAATGAATGGGGGCACTCCCCCATCCTCAGGCTACCTCAATTTTCAGGAACTGGGTAACTTGTCCTTTGGAGCCAGTTTGCAAGAAGGAGCTAGAATGAGGAGGGTAGAGAAGCTTGGAGTGGGCTGAGGAGCTGGCCGATGAAGATCGGGTTAGGGAAACCGCGAGGGCCCGGGTGGTTGGGAC